TTTTATCAAAATTTACATTCAATTTTTCTTATTTAATGTGTATTTTTATTTAATCTCTTATATTAAATTTTAATTTTATTAATATGCACATATTTAATTTTTTAATTAGAAATGAACGTAAATGAGAAAATATTAAAAAAAAAATTGTGATACAAAAATATATAGATACATAAGTGTACAGAAATAATGGTACCAAAATATATAAAATTGACTTTTTTGTACCAAAATATTTGTACGTACATGATTGTACCGAAATATATTATAATGTACCTAAATGTCAATACCAAAATGTATGTACCAAAATGTACGAACCTAAATGTCAATACCGAAAATGTATGTACCTAAATATCAATACCAAAATGTATGTATCTAAATGTATTTACCGAAATAATAATTGAATTAATGTACCTAAAAGTCAATACTCAAATGTGTGTATCAAAGTGTATGTAACGAAATGTCTTATATTGAATCAATGTAACTACATGTTTGTACCGATAGATATACCAAAATATTCAAATGTATTAATGTACCTAAATGAAGACCATACAAAATTGTTATCGGAATATATATTATAAAAAATTTAGTTACCTAAATGTAGACATTAAAATATATTATGATGAATGAAATAAAAATTAAATTTAAATGTAATTAATACATTAAAATAAAAATAAAAAGATAAAATAAAACATCAAAATACAACTAATAAATGATATGATTAAATGTGCTAGGGACTAAAATTGGATTTTAATCTTACATATGGTTATAATCTAAAACTCATCTTTTTTAGGGATTAAAATGAAGTTTTCTAAAATATGTTTTTACTTGATAATGAAACCATAATGCAATGTTTGATGATATGAAAACTTGTCACGGATAATTATAGCTTGTAAGTTGCTACATTGTTTTATTTTTATCAAGGTTTTAAAAACGTTAGGGGCTAATTGTGCGGCAGGCTAGAGCCTAGTGGCTTAAGTAATTTATTATATATTTGCATAAATCAATGCCTATTTATACTTAATGAGCGTTTATCTAAGTTTAATAAGTCCCTTACATTTTAATGAAAAATCAAAATGCAAACTGAAAGTATTGATTTTCTGTCTAAATGAGAGTCGCAAGCTAGGCGGGTGCCTAGGCAGGCCAGGCACCCGCCTAAACAGATCTAGACCCAATTTCTTAATTTTCAAACGCCAAGGTACTAATCGAGACGCCTAAACAGATCTAGACCCACTTTCTTAATTTTCAAACGCCAAGGTACTAATCGGGACTGTAACCAACCTTTTAGTGCCTAGGCAAGGCTTAAGTGGCGCTAGGCGGAGATTTAAAAAACAATAATCTAGGTGGCGCTAGGCTTATGTTGTCTATCTAAATAAACTTAAAAGGGTAAATTACATTTTACCCCCTTAGGTTTAGGTGCAATTGCAATATCTTATAACATCTTTAAAACATTTCACTCTTATACATTAACTATAATTTTCATTTCATTTTAATACAACCATTAGTCAATCCGTTAAATTGACTGTTAAATAATGACGTGGCATATATAAAATCTACATTTTTAATGAAGTGGATGCCACATGTACAAAAAAAAAATTTAAAATACCAATTTAAATATAAAGCTAATATAAAACAAGGGGTGTGCTATCCACACATTCATTTTTACTTCTTCCATACCCCTTGTTATTTTCTGTCATTTGATATTCTTTAATTCATCCGATCCGACGGTTGAAAATTAAAAGGGTGTAAGAGAAGTAAAAAAGGCTGTGTGGATCCCTTAAAACAAAACTAAAAAAAAACACAAGCGGGCCCACATCTTCTTTTAAATGTCTTCTGAGTCTACACTCCCCTTCTTCTCCAGCTACTTGCTCCAGCGAAAAAACGTATGTAGAATCTTCAGATCGGCCCCAAATTGCAGTACTTAATCGAGCAAAAACCACATAGCAATCCAAATGGATTTGTGGAGGCACTGGGTCTGGGGAATTTAGGATTTGAACAAATCCCACTCCTAAATTCATCAAATCCCACCCCAAAATTTACCTCCCTATCTAGGACTTGCAGGTGGCGGGCGGCGGGCGCGGGAAACGTCGTTGAGGTTGCTGTAGTAGCATGAGGAGAGAGGCGGAGGGACGCCGACTTCGGCCCTGCAACCTGGACCTGGGTTTGGGGGAATTTCGGATTTGGACAAATACAACCCCCAAGTTCACCAAATCCAACCTCCAAAGTCACCAAATCCAACCCCTAATGTTTTCGAATCCAACCCAACCCCTAAATTCGATCCGCGTTGGAGTTGTTGATGGCGTAGGAGTTCTAGGTGTCTGAGGGGTTGAGTTAAGTGGTAGCGAATTTGTCGAGGAGCTTGTTGTCGAACATGACGATTCCCACGCCAGTGCTGCAGGCGACGAGGCCGCGGGTCTTGAGGGACCAGAAGAGGATGAGGAGACACGGAGGAGGTGGGAGACATCTTTGAGAGAGTAGCGAAGGAGTCGACGTCTTAGGGCTTCTTCGATGGCCTGTTGTGAGGAGAGCAGTGTAAACCTTTATATGTGGAACTTAAGTATAATCAACCTAATATTTGAACTACGTGTAAGTATGAGAGAATAGAGTGATTACACTAATATAAACGCACGAAAACATGCAACACACTTACTTGCTGAGTTCGCCATAGAGATCAGAAAGCAAGAAACAATGTAATCACAATGGAACTAGGGTTTGTAGTAGCAGGTTTTACTACAAGAACTTGTGGTGCATGAAAGGCTGTGTTCTTCTCTTCTCTAGGACTCAAAAATGTTCTGCAAGTGATGGAGATTGTATCAAAATGAACTGGCGTCCGAGAAAAGAGACCATGCAACGGTTTTAATCATGTAAGGCCATAACTGCTCCATCCATCGTGGTTGCAGTTATCCCACGTTAAGTAGAGTTTTTAGCAAACTCATTCTCTTAAGTTCACTTCCCTTTTAAGTGTTTTATCATGATTAAAACACAAATTACGAGTCCATTAAATCTTCATAACACATACAATAATATGGTTTTGTTACAACTCACACCACTCGGAAAACCTTACAAGGAGGTGTTGCAGACGGGAGGAGAGAATGAGATGTTGCAGACGGAGGAGAGGAGAAGCCTGGGATTGGATTTTTTGGGGTTCTGCCGACGGATGAGATGTTGCAGCAAGAGGAGAGGAGGAGGTGATGGGTTTTGTCTGGGGAAAAAATTGGGGGACGGGGTTGGTGACGGGGTTTGGTGATGGGAGAAGGGGTGGCTCGGGTGGACAAGGGGGTGGTGGTGGGAGAAGGGGTGGGGAAGATGAAGAATTTGTATTTTATTTTTTATTTTTAGTTAATTATTTTAATATGTTAATATTCAAATTAGATTTTAATTTTTTATTAATTTTGTATGCCACGTGGGACACGTTTGTCAGCCACGTCAACACAAATGTGAATCCCATATTTGCCATGTCATCAGTTAACGGTTCTAACGGATGTATGAAATTAAAATAAAATGATAAGTAAATGTACGAAATTAAAATGTTTTAAAAATGTGGTATGAGGTTGCAATCAACCCCAAACCTGAGGGAGTAAAATGTAATTTACCCAACTTAAAAGCTTTTATCCACCCATGCACAAAATTTCAGGAAATAAAAGAAGACCCAAGAGGATCCTCGCCGGATCTTCTTTGTGAGGATCCTCCAATCATATTCGTTTATTGTACATCGTGCAGTTAGAAATTATTGTAATTTTTATTATTTAAAATTAAATATAAACAGTATCTAACTGATATATGATGAACATATGTGATTGGAAGATTCTCGGAATTTTCACAAAAAAGATCCAACGAGGAAACGAGGATTCTCAATCAAAGAAGACGAGGTCAAAAACATACTTCTTAATGAGTCTGTCATCTCTGCTTATGTAATATTTTATCATCCTGTCCACTTCAAATCATTCCCGAATACTGCTTTTGATTGAAGTCAATGTCTATTTTTATGTTTGTTTTGATCAACAGCCTAGAAAGTTAACCGTGTTTTGGAAACCTGCATTGCCACAAAGATTCCCAGAAGTTGAGTTGTGTTTTAAAACTAAACGTACAAGTCATCAGACACATGCATGCCCTCAACCAAGTCTTGTTTGGGATTACTTTGTAAGAAGCACTTATTTTTTTAAAGTTTTCATTAAAAATACTACAATATCCAAATTGGAAATAAAAAAAATATGCCATGATATTTCTATATAAAGCATTGTTTTGACTCAATAACATTTTTAATTTACCACTTAGTACTACGGTCTAGTGGTATTTATTTTAATTTGTAAGTAAGAAGTTTTAGGTTCGATTTGCTAAAGACAAATTTGAACCACATTATTGCTAGCTCACTGTAAGGCTAAGCTCACCCACTTCTCCCTTAGTGTAGATAATATCGTTTGTTAAAAAAAAAAAAAACTTTTAACTTGATTTCCCAAACACGAGCAAAAGCGTGCTTAGCTGTGAAAACGCTTTTGATCATTTCTTAAGCATTCCCAAACAAACCCTTTTGCTCTGCACAAGTTGGCTTCTTAAATACAACTCTGATTTACATCTAGATTGCACAATTTATTAAAACGTGTTAAACTAATGATCATGTTGACTTTAGTTCCGCAAATACACTCCAATTTCGTATACTTTATTAATTTTGTGTTTGCCCAAATTACACTAATTTTGAAAAATGAGTGAATTTGGACATGGCTTTTCTTCTTAGTAGGTTCAAAAGTTAGCTTGGAAACCCATGAGAAAAGCCGCCTGTTTCTCTGAGCAAGAAAACTCAGAAAACAGTGCTTAATTTATGCTTCAAGTTTTCATTACTTAACAAAAACTATTAGCTAAATTTTAAAGTCAAATTTGGAGTATACAAATAATATACTCCATCAAACTTTCCGGGAAAATCTGCAGACACCTCTATAAATTACATATATTCTCAGAGGAAACTTGAGAATTAAACTATCAACATCCCATCTGTTTGTAAAGACCAGGACATGATGTTTGTTGGCGTACCAAGACCTATTTTTCTATTGCTGTTCTTAGCTTCTGCTCTTGTTCTGAGCTATTTTCTACAATCAACCTCACGACGAGATCTTCAATTCTCGTCCAATCCTCTGTTTGTGTTTTCGTTGTTTAACATCATTATCGGTGCCATCATTGTTGGAAATCACAGGCCATCTTCCGGGGAAGCCGATGACGCCATATCTTTCATGCATCATTCGTATGAACTAGAAGAAGATGGAGCTGATGACGCTGAGGATGCAAAGAGTGATAAATACTCGAGTTTGGAGGGTTGTGACCACAGTAGGGACCATGTTGATGACAACGATGATGGTGAAAGTGAAGATGATGATTTTGATTTTGAAGGCTACGAAGAAGATGACGACGACAATGGTAGCGATGATGAGATTGGTTGGGGAGACATGGATGAATATGACTGTAATTTGGAGAAACGAATCGAAGACTTCATTGCCAAGGTTAACAAGGGATGGAGGGAAGAGAGGTTAAGGGATGGTCTCTCCTATCCCTTACAGCTAACCTACCTGTGAATTATTTACAAAGCTCAAGAAAATAATAATTTAATTTTACTATAATTTTCCTTTGTCTCTCTTGTTCTCTGCCATAGAATGCATAAGTTTAACTGATACCTGCAATGCTGAAATGCACAGATGCTGAAATGCGTGATAACTGTCGCCTCGCCTGTGTGAGTAAAAATGATATAGCATCCTTTTGAACAAATAGTTATTTCCAAAAGTCTTAATGTGTAGTGTTCCTTCAAAGATCAAAGGGAAGCAAATTTTATGCAACAATTACGACTGATCAATAGTTCTATACTACATACAAGTGAACTTCAGAAATATTTTGAATATTATAGCTGCAATCAACCAATTTGCCTACCAGAGCAATAGTTGTACTAACCAAGACCTGATCCGGTGTCCTTGGGAGGTGCGTCAGCCTTGATACGAGGTGGCCTAACAACACGATCAATGAGCCCATATTCAAGAGCTTCCTGTGCATTAAAGCGCTTCATCCGACTTAAGTCTTTGTTAATCTGAATATACATAGTTCAGAATGATCATTCACTGAAACACATAAGCAACGATGCTTCATGCATGGGGTCATAAAACCACTTCACCCAAAAGTGATTATAGGATTATTAGTCAAACTAGCTAACCTTTTCAACTGACTGGCCTGTTTTTTTAGCCAACTCATTAAACAGGTAATCCCTGATTCTGAGAAGTTCATTTGCTTCATTTTGTATGTCATCGGCCTGCCACAAGATTTTGTAAAGACTCGTGAACACAAGGACCAAAAATCTAAGAACTTGAAAGGCATCTATAGAAGCCATTTTAGGCATTGACAGGAAGCAGCGATACCTGACCACGAGCAGCCCCGGCAGGAGACTGTAGTGCAATTCTTGATAGTGGCATTGCAAATCGGTTCCCCTAAGAAAAGCAGAAATTACAAAAAAGGTGGAATTTCAGAGTTTAGTCATCTAATAAATAAATGACAGCAGTAATATTTTCAGGGAAAACTTGATATAAGTCCAATTTTTTTAGCCAATAGTAGGAATAGTCCAATTTATTAAAATAAGTCCAATTCCTTAAATTTAATTATTTAATTATCAATAATTATCTATTCAATGATAAGATTTATTATAAAAATCAAATTTCTTCCTGATTATCTCTTTGATTATTTATTTTTATTTTTTGTTATTTCTTGTTCTTCCTCCTGCTTTAAACCCCATTTATAGATTTTATTTTTAATTTTTATAATCAACCTATATCACAGGTTAATTATTTTTATGTATCTATATGACAGATTTTTTTTTATAATCAACGTGTCACAAATTAATGTCTTGCTTGTAGGTATATTATGTTTTTTCCTACCTTTTAGTTAGGTTTCATATCTCGCTTACAGGTACAATATATATTCATATATTTGTTACTTGAGTTAAGGTAGAATGTTTTGTAGATAATTTATGTTAGTATATTAGTTTTTATTGTTGTAAGATATTACATAGATTTTTTGGGGTTGAAAAATGCATGATACTAGAATATTTTAATTGATTTTTAATATTTAAAAAAAATATAAAATGAGTATAAAAGAAATAAAAACATGTAATTAGATAATTGGACCCACTCCTAAAAACCATCTATATTTTTGGACATAGATCTAAAAGCCCCATATTTTTAAGCAGTACAAGAAGATAATCCATCAAATCATCAATGCATGGCGGTGCTAAACAGCATGAGTTAAACGATGTGGTCAGATAGCAATATTAGAGACAGAGAAGTCCTCTGGTCAAAGTGCTAACTTCATATCTAATTCCCCCACACATTATACCGCATAATCATAGCTGTACTAACTATTGTACTTCTAAGGCTAAGAAGAGGAAAAATGAAAACTTATGTCGACCCTCTTCATGATGAGCATTAGTATCTAGTACTAAGGACTTCATCAACCTGGACTAAAAAAGAAGTATTACCTTCTCTCCAGCGGCTAGAAGAAAGGCTGCCAAATTATAGGCATAGCCTACACAATGGGTGCCGACAGGACTTTTTAGGCTCTGCATCGTATCATATATAGCCATGCTCGGAGTAAGCTGAAAATAGCGCAAGTTTTAGATATGGAGCATGGAAAAACAATAATAGAAAGAAGTAAAAGATTAGCTCACATCTCCACCAGGACCGTTGATATACATATAAAGCCTTTTGGAAGAATCAATAGTGTCGAGGTACAGCATTGTTGCCAAAATTTGATTGCTAAACTCTTCATCTATATTCTGCCCAACGAAGATAACCCGTTCTCGATACTACATTCCAATAAAAAAGAAGCTTTCTTAGAGAAGCAACAAAAATGAGATTTCAGTAAACTCAAGAAGTTGAAATCCAAACAGAATTAATTCTCAACTTCGGATGGCATTTAATGTATTTTTTTTTATCTAGCTATCAAGATAAGTTCACGGAAGATTTGGAATTATCAATAGAAACAAAGTATAAGCTCACAGTACCATTTGAAATATTTGGGTGGGAACAAACAAACTGAAAAGCTTCATCATCTAAATACAAATATGGTAAAATAATCTACTTGAGTGGGATCCAAGCCTCTTAATTGGTGATACACGAAACAAAGGGTCATTCTTAGATGTGTTCTGTACCTAAGTTAATGACCTGTACCTATAACATCCTATGTCAACTGTCTGCTCTTTTCATATGGAATTAACTGTAACCACTTACTAGAGCATTCCACAAATCAACCCATTGCCAAGTTCCCTCACCAGGAGTTCTATAGGGCACCTTTGGCGTCCCTATAGGCATCATTCCAATTTGTGCCCGAGATGGTCTATGGTTTCGTGTCCTGAAAAGTGCAAACATTGAGATACATCATCCGTGCTTTGACAGATTGATTTAGAAATTCAAGCAACTCTCAGATTTAATCAAAAAGAAGAAGTTATTATTCTTTTTATTTCAAGAGAACCGAAAAATTGAGGTTCCTTAGGGAATTCATGATAACACTTATAAAGGGATATTTTGGGGCACGCCAATCTATTGAAAAACGATATTCTAAACTACTCTAATTACGGGAAGGTGGGATTCGAACTTGGGTGCACCTGGCATACACAGCTTTGGCCAAGTAGCATAATCCACATCTGCAAACCCTACTATAATGCTCTACAAAAATTCAAGTGGCCACCACCCATGTATCGAATTTACACTAATTTTCGCCACAGAACCAGAAAACTGCAGAAGAATTAAGCAAATGAACACAGCCCATATTTTAGTTACCTGGACTGAAGGCTCTTATTAACTTTGCCGTAGAACTCAACCGTCAAGTTAGGGTTTTTAGCTCCAAAAGTACCTTTATTTTGTCAAAAAAAAAAAAATTAAAATGATTACATAGCAGAAAAAGAAGACCGAAATTAGCTCCCGAGAAGGATGGAGGCAACGAATACCCAAAGACTGCAGCTTTAATCCTGAATAATGCTTTGTTGAGCAACTGCGGAAGGATAAATGGATAACTACAATTAGAAACACTAATCTTTTTAATTTTTTGGATTAGAAAACGGATTAAAAGAGAAAAGAACAAAAAATCCATGAGAATGATTACCTGGGAGGAGGAAGAGAGAGCCTAGCTTGGCGATGGAGGCCTGGAGAAGAAGTGGTTGGGTGAAAAGAGACTGCCATTTTCACCAACTGAGAGAGAAAGTTTTGGGAGGTTGGGATGGGAGGAAGACGAAGAAGGGAATAGACTAGTTTTTTTTTCTAAACCGTCGTGTTTTTGACGGGCCGGGTGATTGGTTTTGTCATCATCATATAAGATCCGACCCTGATTCAAGTTTGAAATGTCACAACAAAAAGCTTGACTACCGGGTGTACTCAATTAGAATGGAGAATCCTCGTCGAATCCTCAAATCACATTCATTTATCGTATATCGCACGGTCAGAAATTATTATAAATTTTTTATTTAAATTTGAATATAAACAGTACCTGACAACAAATGATCACACGATGTACAATAAACAGATGTGATTGAAGGATCCTATATTCTCAATTAGAAGTTTAAATGACTTTAAAAGAGTTTACAAATGTATTTAATCAAGATTTAAAATAAAATAATAAAATTTTGTAGAAATTCGATTGTATTCATTTGAAAATTTAAAGTTTTTTTATAATTTTTTTGGGTATTGAATTAAGATTTTTAAAGTTAAGGTATGCGGCCAAAAGTAATCTAAAAAATCTTTGAGTTGACACATGAACTTTTATTGGAGATTGATGGAATGTCCTTATTAATCTGGCGAATTCCATATTTATTCCACACACATTTTAACTCTCTTGAAGACTTGAGTTGTTGACTACAACTTCCCCAAACTCCACTACTGAGAAAAGTCAAGGGTATTAAAGATAGGATTAATAACTAATCTTTATCTTTAAGTTTTTCTAATTGAAGACTAACTCAATCAAGTAAGGGATCACAATCATCTCTAATAAAAATACTACGAGATAAATCCTAAGATATTATTTAATTAATAATAATTTTTTCCTCCATCTTATGGATGAACATTGTGCTCAACTGGATGACGACACATGACATGGAAAACCTACATATGTTGTGGCCCTATGCTCCTATAAATACTCTATTCTACAACAAGTTCTGGTAAGTTTTTGCACGCAATTAAGACCTAAACTCTTTTTTTTTTTTTTCTTTAGAAAACTAATATAGGCATAAAAAATTCATTGGCCAACCCTCCCCAACACTCCTTGGGCACCTGCCTTTTGGTCTTTGATCATAGGTGTTTAATTGCTTTGTGATTCGTTAAGACAACGAATTTTTGCTAACACAAATTGGTGCTTTCATTGAGAGTTAAACTCAAATCTCGAAGAAGCCCTCGCAATTCCTTTCAGAATTTTCCCCCTCTTTGAATTTTTCTAGATGCTCCCAATCTTCGAATTTTAATTCCTTGTTTGCGTGCCCTAGGGAAAGGAGACATGGTTGAAAATTTTGAAACTACGATGAACGGTACGCTTTACGTACCTTGACATAGACTGGAGAAAGGAGAACATGACGTAGCCATACGCCACCGCTTCTTGCGGCTGAGCATGATGGCTAAATGACCCTTGGCGCCACCACGAAGCACTACTACAGCCTAGTAGACCAATGCAAGCAACCCAAGCCAAGAGGCCATCGTCGTATGCTAAAGTTAGAACCTAGTGGCTCAAGCCCAAGGTGTG